TGCAAAGGGAAGGAGCTGTCTCCTTTTGTACTCTGCAAGTTATCTTTGAGACCTAGACACGCTGGCTTTAAATCCATGGTAGAGACCAGCAGCAGCCTCTCAAGATTGCTGCTCCTCTCAGCAACTCAGAAGCCTAAACCTTCATTCCCCTGTAGGAGGACAAAGTAACCAACACAGCTGGTTTTTCCTTTGCAAACTAATGGCACTGAATAAGATCTATGTCAGTAGATGCGAAACCTCATTTAAAAAACACCAGGGGTTTAATGTGTCAGCGTTCAAGAAAAGTATCAGGGGATCTCAGTCAGAAGGAAGACAGCAGGGGATCTTCCAACAGCAATGACCAAACAGCTGTGCCTAGCTTCCAGGATCTGGAACTACCTGGCCCTGCTCAGGATTCGCATATACCAGACAGAGGTCATGGTCATGAGAATTCCCAGGCTGTTTCAAAAGGTGCTCTTTCTGTATTCTGCTCCCTCAACAATACAGAGCTGGTTACAGCAGCCAAGCCTGTGTTTTGGCTCATACACTCCCCTTGGCTCAACTTCCTTTGGAAAATGCGTTCTGCCTTATGCACAGAACTAGACAGCTAAAGCAGCAAAAAAGAAACTATCAGTGCCAATCTCTACTTCATCCTGGCATCCTTCCTCCAAGGCACTACTTTGAGCTGCTTTCAAGCATTCTCTTCTTTCACACCAAATCAGACCAGCTGCTGTGCTTTTGTTCCTTGTAAAGGGCATCCATTCTATCCTCTCCAGAATCACACATTTCCAGATAATCATATTAAGTTCCCCCTCAGAATCATATTAAAATCCCCCAACAGGTCATGAGCATTATAGAAAAGGCAAAACAAGTTTCTGGAACATCATGTATTATTGTAAACCCCCCCCCCCCCATCTTCTCTGTGACAATCCCATTTCTGGCACAAAGACACCAGTTGTGCCTTTGAGGTAGTAATTGGGAGCTCTTATTCCTAACGACACATACTCAAGCAACAGAGCAATTCAGCTCAGTACTGGATTTGTATGATACTGCAGGGAAACCAAACTATTTTCCTCCATAACAAAGTGCTCATGACTTACCAACTACATTCACACATTAAGCATGAAATACTCACATGCAAATATGTTAAAGTTTCACTTGTTTCCTTACCTCTACCAATTTAATCTCTCTATATTATAAAGGCGTTTTGGGGTGGCCCCTGACCTATGGGGTGGCGCGATTAAATGTGCTCCCTCAGCCATTGGCCCGCCAGCTGCCGCTCAAGGCTGCTGGCATGCCATTCGCTGGGTGGCTGGCAGGGGAGGGATTAGGCCTCAGTCTCCTTGCAGCGCCTGGACGGGACAGACACTCTATTGGCCGGGGACCACCAATGGAGCCACTGCGGCGACTGTCCTCACCCCACTGCGGGTCGCCGCCTGGGCAGTGTGCAGCCACATAACGGGCAGGGCAGGTGCTTTGCCAGGGAGAGGGGAGGCCTCCCCCCGAGCCTGCCACCACCGTCCTCGCTGAGGCGGCCAGCCAGGGAAAGGCCTCTGGAGACCACCGTGACAACTCTCTCCACTCGCCCTGACCCGCCGGCGCCTCCACCAACGGTGCGGTTCACGGGGGGGGGGGCAGCCCAGCTGCCCTGACACCTGGGGTTTCCAATGGGGGCTGGAGGCCCGAGGGGAGCTGCAGCTGGCCAGCCTCAGGCAGGCCCTCTGCTGCGGGCAACTCCGCCTGCTGCTGCCGCCCTCCTCACCAGGCTGGTTGAGTGCAGATGGACTGCTGCCTGGCGCTTCAGCGGGGGGGCCTCTGCCACCACCCCCTGTATTGAAGGCCGTACAACCAGGCTCTGACGTCACCACAATGGCGACGAGATTAGTCATAACAGTTCCCCGAAGCTTCCCTTCCCCCCCCTTCCCCCCCATCTTTGCAATGGGGAGACGCTGGGGAGGTGGAGGCTGGGGGGGGGGAGCAGTTGCTTTGGGGTCTCACTGGGAGGTTGGGTGACGGTTCGGTTCGGTGCCTGGCCGGGCGTCTTCCAGGCCCTCCTCCACCGCCTTTCCCCGGGTCTCCTGAACCAGGCCTCACCGCCCGCCGGCGGGTCCCGAGTGGGGTCGCTCAACCTTCACGCGGAAGAGTCGAGGCGCCCTTTCCCCGGCCATGTGGGGTCTTGGTGGGGTTCTTTGCATTTCTTGCACCGGGAATTCAGAGGCTGGAGTCCCTTTGGCAAGCATGTCGCCCTGGTGTGAAGTCCAGCATTTCGGCAGCGGCAGCAGCCCCCCCCCTGTTTTTTAAAATGTGTGTGTGGGGGTGTGTGCGTACATGCGTGTGTGCATATGTGCCCATGCCTGGAAGTCATGGTGACCTCTGGCGACTCACAGAGCCACAAGGTATAGATAGGGACTCTGGGGCAAGGGATGCTCTGTATTCTTGGTGCTTGGGGGGCAAACAGTGGGAGGGCTTCTAGGATCCTGGCCCACTGCT